GAGGAGGGAGGAGGGGACGGGTATTTGTATACACAAGGAGTGCAATGTGCACTACCCGAAGGATGGACATATTTGAAACACGGACTTGGGGGGAGAACCAAGGGCAACACACGTAACCTAAACATCTGTACCCCCATAATATGCTGAAATAAAAAAAAAAAAAAGCCAACCAGTAGGAGTACAGTTCCTGTTGCAATTACTCAGCTTTGCAGCTGTAGCATTAAAGCGGCCACAGGCAGTGTGTTAATTAATGAGTGAGTCCGTATACCAATAAAACTTTATTTACCAAAACAAGCGGTGGGCCAATCTGGCAGCAGGCCATGGTTTGCCAACTCATGCTTTAGATGACACCTAATCAATTTTTATCCTAAATTGACCTTGTAAGTCTCCTGAAATCCCTCTGGACTAAAACACAATACAGACCGAAAATAAAAAGCCATCTGTTACCACAGGGGTTTCTGGTGAAGGGATCTCCTGGACCAAATTCAAAGATGGAAAAGTGATAATAAATCGCTTTGTTATACCATCAATGTAGCCCCCACGATAGCTGTGACTTACCTAAATATGACTTAGCCACCGCATGCAGGGCTTGGGGAGGCCAGGGCATGAACCAGTCGATGCCAGTGTTGTTTACCAGACCTTGAAAAGACGAGAGATGAAAAAGATGCTCACTCAGCAGTCCCGAGATGGGCTCAGGAACTCCATACCATCTTCGGCAGCCCACAGATTGGCGGATGAGCCGGACGTGTCCGAGTCTAATTCATCAGGAGCAGTTTCTCAGCCTTGGCGCTACTGGCATTTGGGGGCAGACAGTCCTCTGCTGCAGGGGCTGGCTGTGCGTGGCAGGGTGTCTAGCAGCATCCGGCCTCTACCCACTAGATGCCAGCAGTATCCCTCAACCCCTTCCCTGCCTTGTAACCACCAAAAACGTCTCTGGGCACTGCCAGGTGCCCCTGCGGGAGGCAGAATCCCCCCCATCAGGAACCTCTGTCTAAGGGGAGGCACTGGCAGAATTTTCCCAGATGGGAGGGAGCAGAGAGCCACCCTCTACCCCCGTAGGCCTGGCACCTAGGAGCGTGAGCAGGACATCACCTACGCCTGAGCCCCGCAGCAGCCGCGAGGCTCGCCCTACTGTGCGGGGCCCACATTTCAGCCTGTTCTACTCTGTTTCTCCTGTTCTCCTCTACGGGAGGAACCTCGAGAGTGGGTGGACCCCGTGCGCACACGCCCTGCAGGCAGGGAAACCGGTCTGCAGGCTCCGCTCGAGGGTACCTGGGAAATTTCTGCACCGGGTCCTCAGGGTGTCCCCCACAGGCGACATGCCCAGGACGATGTGCAGGTTGTTTGCACTTTTGTTCACAAAGAACTGCCACACGGACTCCTTGGCCGGCCCCATGCCCGCCTTCGCAGCCTCTTGTCCAACCTGATTGAGGACGGACTCCTTCTCCTCTTCGGCAAACAGCGCAGGTACGATTCCTGGAAAACGAAGACACGTGGGCGGTTTTCTTTTGTCTCGAGGTCGTCATCTCTCTAGACACTGAGAGCAGGCGATCACAAAATAGCGGAAGCAGGAGGTCACGGGCGTGCTGCAGAGGAGGGCTGGGCCCTGACCCCGACACCCGAGACTCACTGGCCCGGCGGTACCTGAGGTCAGCATGTTGTTGATGAGCTCCAGGAAGCTCTCCTCGGCCACGTGGGCGTCCGTGAACAGAAAGATCATCGTTTTGTTCTCAATCCCAAGTTTCAGATAAAGGTTCTTCAGGTCATCCCGGAAATTGTTCTCCGCGTAGCCTCGGCTCAGCATGATCTCGAACACCTGCCAACACAGAGCACGGCGTCACCAAGCCACAGAGCACGGCGTCACCAAGCCACAGAGCACGGCGTCACCAAGCCACAGAGCACGGCGTCACAGCCGCCTACTGGTCTCCTCCTCTGCTGGCCACGTGCAGAGGGCACGGGCCGTCCACACGGGAGTACGTGGGTCTGGGAAGGCCTCCCTGTCATGAAGACGAGGCCCTCGGAGCCACCGAGAGGGAGGGGACGGACGAAAGCAGCCAGGGGCTGAGCCTGGAGGGAGAGGAAGACGATCACACGCACCCCAAAGCGCGCTCAGCCACGTGCTGGAGTTGACATGAAATTGGATAAATTGTGAGGAGATGTGGAAAGAAATTCAATGAGAAGCCATTCTGAATTCTTAAACTAGAAGATCCTATTTACACATAAAATAGATATAAATGTAAATAAGAACACACCTTTTCTGTTCGAGCATTCACTTTAGCTCAGAGGTAGAAGTGAAAACTTTCACGCGACAGGCAACCGTAATTTTGGAAACACGTCGTATTTCTCGTAACTGAGACCTCCGTTCCCCACGTCCCCTCAACGCTAGCACTCGCACACGCGGTCACGCACCAGCCACAGACTCCGGTGTCCGGCTCTGTCCGCTGCCTACGGACCTCCCGAGGGCACCATGTCCCCTCCCTCCGGCAGCGCCCGTGTGATCGCCGGCTCTGATCCCACCACCAACCCCGCTGCTCCCAGGGCCCAGCCACGCCCCGTGTCCTCGTCCCCCTCCCAGCCTCTGTCCCTTGACACCCTCCCCTCTGCTGTCCCCCTCAAGGCAGTATGTTGGGAAACCGCCTCAGATTCACCAGGACGAATCAACAGAAAAAATCAGTTTTCCAGAGGGGAACGTCTTATCCTACAGGAAAATGTAGAAAACAATGGGAAAACTATATTTTAATAATGAATGAATTCAATTACATATTTTATCAGATTTAAAGGTAACTCAGGCATATTAGTTTTTCATTCTTTTAGAAATACTTTAGACAAAAGGTCAATATTTGTGAAATAATGTAAGCTGGATTCATTGAATGAACCACACTCTTGTACATAAAGAATTCTCACAGATCAGTAAGTATATAAAAAGGCAATTCACAAAAGAAAAAAGGCAAATGTCCAATGAATATATAAAAAGATATTCCAACTTCACTATTAATTGAAGAAAAGATCATTTAAACTGCAATATTTTCCATCTATAATACTGGCAAATATCAGAATGACAATACCTAGTATTGGTAAGAGCATGCAGAAAACAGACATTGCCAATAGCATAAAGTTGCATTATTCTTTGTTGTGGGGGCGTGATTAGTTATTAAGACATTTTAAAAAATAATGGCTGGGCTCAGTGGCTCACGCCTGTAATCCCAGCACTCTGGGAGGCTGAGGTAGGAGGACCAGCCTGAGCAAGAGCAAGACCCCAACTCTTAAAAAAGAAAAAAAAAGAAAAGAAATCAAGTATGAGGAATAACATGCTTCTATACCCACCACTCACACTTAACATCGGCTGGAAAAAACTTTGTCCTATTTGCTTCAAGCCCATTTTCAACTAAGTTGCGAATCAGGTTCAAGTCCCCCCGCCTCGCCTGCATTCCCAGGCCCTTTTCACTCCCCAGTACGTTCAGGCCCGACCTTTCCAATGAGAAAGCTGGTGCCACGTACCTGAAATCTTTAAAAAGCATATACCCTTTAACCCATCAATTTCCCAATTTCTAAAGAGAGGGATCCTATGAAAAAAACTGAACAATGTTCAAAGACACACGAAGAAAGATGTTCATCGCTGCAATGTTTATAACAGTAAAACGAGGAAAAAAGCTACATGTCCACCAACAGAGATGGGTCATGTATGGCATATCCATGCAACGGGGCACTGTCCAGGGTTTCAAAAGACGATGTAAATATGTATTTATTGACTTGAAAAGATCAAGTGATCTTTTTACTTGATCAGTGATATAGTGGAAAAAACATATTACCAAAGTTATATTAATACTAACCCCTTGCTAAGAAGTAATATGTTTGTGTATTCATAGAAAAAGAAGAACATACAGATGGTCCCCAACTAATGATGGTTCAACTTGAGATTTTTTGACTTTACGACGGTGCCAAAGCAGGATGCAGTCAGCACGCTCCTTATCAGGGGCTGTGTCCTGATACGACCGTGGCAAGCTGAGGAGCACCTGCACGCGAAAATGTCACTAGTAACGGTGGCAGTCTTTAGGTTGTGAGGTTATAAGCGTTCGTTATTTTCTTTAGATTTTCTGCACTTTCTGAATTGTCGCAATGAGGATGTATTAAATATTACATTCAGAGAGAAAAGTGAGAGAATTCACAACAATGATTATCGTGTGCAATGGACTGAATGTGTGCGTCCCCCTCCCAAAATCCGCCTGCTGAAATCCTGACCCCAGTGTGGTGGTTGGGCCTTTAGGAGGTGATTAGGTGACGGGGGAGCCCTCACGCCTGAGATCAGCGCTGTTATAAAAGGGACCCCCGAAAGCCTTTCTCACTCTCTTCCAGCCACATCAGCAACCCAGAGAGGGGCCTCGCCGGCACCCGGCCATGCCGGACTCTGGTCTTGGAATTCCTAGGCTCCGGAACTTGGGAAATCACTTTCTGTTGTCCACAAGCCAGCCAGGCTAGGGCGCTCTGTTACGGCAGCCTCAGCTGCCAAAGACACTGTGACATCAGTGACAATGATGCTGAGTTAGATCTGATCCAGAAAACACGTAGAAGACAAATAGGAAAGTCTGTACGGAAGAACGTGTCTTCCTTGCTAGGGGAAGGATCAAGAAAACCCAACAAAAAGTATCCTCGCAAAAGGCAGGCTTCTCAAACGGGTCTGAGGCAGGTACGAGGGGCGGCTGAGCATCTGAGAGTAACAGGCTGGACGAGACCTTGCTCTGCACCACGGAGCGCCCACGTGGGTCACGAGGAGGAGCGAGGCACCCGGTACCAGCGCGCGGCAGAGACAGAGGCTTTGAGGATAAGGCGAGACCCTAAGGCGCGTCAGACGCCCGAGAGCTAAAGAAGGGTCGGGGAGCCAAGGACGAATCGTGGAGATGACTCTGCTTCACGACTCAGCCTCAACGCACGGTGCAAGGCTCCGGCTCGCGAGGCCCCTGCAGGTGAGTCACCCGTGGCAACTGCGGGAGGCATCTATCAGTTCTAGGATGGTCTGGAGAAACAGGAACCCGCAGACACCGCCGGCGGGATGTGAAATGGCGCGGCTGCTCTGGCGGGTCCGCGAATGATTAAACGTGGCACTGCCAGATGACCCAGCAACTCCACTCCCAGGAGTGCGCCCAGAGCAGCAAAGACATATGTCCGCACACACTGTATACACGCATGTCACAGCAGCACCGTTCACAACAGCCAAAAGGTGGGAACCACGCAAATGTCCATGAGCAGATGACGATAAACAAAATGTGGTCCATCCATACGATGGCATATTGTTTGGCCAAAAATGAAATGAAGTACCGACACGTGCTCCAACACGAACCTTGGAAGCATCATGCCAAGCGGAAGACGCCAAACACGAAATACCTCATGCTGTATGATTGTATTCGTACGAAAGTCTAGAACAGGGCAGTCTACAGAGACAGAAAGTAGGTTAGCGGTCGGTTGCGTAGGGCCGGTGAGAGGGGTGCGGAGATGCGGGTGAGAGAAAAAGGCACGGGGTTTCTTTCTGTAGTGATGAAAATGTTCTAAGCTAGACTGTGGTGATGGTTGTACATATCTGAATATACCAAAAAGCACCGATCGGTACACTTCAAACGGGTGAATTATATGGTCTTGAATTATATCTCAATAAAGTTGTTTTCTAAAAACAAATTCTAGGCTTGACCCCAAACTCTGCCAGTTGTGCAGATTCTGCAACCAGCGATTGCCAACCTCATACAACGGGCCCACCGCGGTTTGGGCCAAGCCCTCCACCATGTAAGCACACGCCACCGTTCATAGGACTTGCTTGTGTTTGATTTTTGAACTCGATTTGACATATTCTCTGTTCCAAAAACAATACAATACAGACAGTCCACCTTACCATGGTCGAACTTGGATTTTTGCACTTTACAATGGGTTCGTTGGGACATTAAATGCATTTTTGTCTTGCTGTATTTCTGACTCATGATGGGTTTATCAGGATGTGACCACATCGTAAGTCAACGAGCATCTGTAGTTAGATGCTTTCGATGGTCAGTAAAAATAAGATCAAGCCAAAAACAAGAAACAAACAAACAAAAAAACCAAAACCCACCTCTACACTCTATGAAAACATCATGGTACGATCTGCTGTAGACGGTCCCGATAGTTACATGAACTACCCACGGCAGAAACCGGCATGACACGCTATTTCTGGGAGGGGAGGCGGGCTCACCTCACAGCCGGCTGTGAAGGCGGCCAGCCGCGCCAGCGACTGCTTCCCCGAGCCGCCGACCCCCACCAGCAGGGCGTGGCCGCGGTCCATCCGGATGATGCGGTGCACGCGGGTTAAGTGCTCCAGGGCGTCGTCAAAGAGAACCAAGTTCATTTTGGTGTTGCTTTCATTATACTCTTCAAGAATTTCCTGAATTTAAAAAAAAAAAAAAAAGTTTTAACGGATCCCTGGATTTAAGAGGCGGACTCCCCTCCTCCTCCAGGAGATTAAGAACGGAGGAGACAGTTTTCTGAACATCCGCAGTGGCTGAAATAATCCCATCTTTGGGTTCACAGGACTCATCCACCTTTCACAATCAAATCTCGATCTCTGGGTTCTGACGGGCCGGCAGCAAGCCGAAGCGGGTCACGAGACTCATCTCGTGAATTTAAATGCAAACGAATGTCAGGGATCAGATGAGCGGTCCCCAAACCTAGCTGTGCGGCACCCAGGGACCCTCTGCAGGCCCAATGAAGCGAATCTCAGGGGGCAGGCCCAGGAGTCTGCGTTTAACAAACGCCTCGCCGGGGTCCTTCCGGTGCACCGCTGGGCGTGGAGACCACCAGGGCAGACGCAAGCCCACATCTGACACCCCGAGCAAGAGCCGCGGCTGTTCCTTCCCGGGCACCCACTCCATGCTCGGCTCCCCCGCTTGGCCCTGCTCCGGGGGGCAGGTGAGGCCCGTCCACACCTGGAACAGGGCCTTGGCCGCCTCGTAGTCCTGGATGTCTTCGTACACACGTGGCTCCCCTTCGTGCAGAGCCATCCGGAAGTCTCCGAACAGTATGGGATCCCTCATCGCCGTCTCCAAGTCATCGGTAAAATGTTCCGTGACCAAGCTTCTTATGTGCTCTTGTACCTTAAAACACAGGACCGTTAAGGACCAAACTCGACAACAGCACACGCGCCGGAACTTGTCAGGAAAAGAGTACACGCTATTATTACCTAGAATAATTTGCATTTGATTTTTCCCCAATTGCTACGAGGTACTTAATAACCAGCCCACCACCCTCCTTTACCTCTTGACTTTTATTGTTAGTGTCTAGTTTTCTGCAATTAGTGTCCCATATAAAAAGTACATCGGGGTTGTTCTTATGCTTGTTTTACTCAGAGAAGAACCCCGTGGTTAGAGTCGTGCGTTTGCTGGTCCGTGTCACCGTACTGACCAGCTGCTTGTCTGTGTCATTGATCAGCCGGTCGTGGAAGACTCTGAGGCACTCGTTCCTCCACACTCTCACCATCTGGGCCACCGTCTGGAACCTGCGCGACAGAAGGGGCAAAATGAGCCATGGCGTCCCCCGCAGCAGAGCGAGGCCGATGCCGCCATTTCCAGATGCTTACACGGGGCGTGGGAAAGGACCCGCATTTCTGGAGTCCTCTTCCCCCTAGTGTCACATTAATGGGATGTGAGCAGAGCCCTACAGAAGCTAACGAATTAAATGTAAAGACCACAAGGTCCTCACCCATAACTTATCCTACTGTGGGGAAGAAAAAAGAGCATTTATCTACATGTGGCATAAATGACATAAAGTAAGCACCTAACGTCGCCCCACTTGCTGGAATATACGAATTCAAAATCAGCATCAGGGCCACTGGCAGCTCCTTTTTCTAAGAGCCAACTCCATCTGGTTCCAGTTCCCTGTTTTCTGGCAAAGAGCCATCACCCCACCCAAAACACGCTGCTAGACTGCGCTCTATAACTTCAAGGGCAGCCACGAGCAAGTTTGGGTCCATGGAAAGTCTTTAACTCATTTTTCGGTATTTCGTTGATCCGTAATACGAATCCACATAATAGGATTCTGCTTGCGAATCTACGTAAAGTAGATGTGCATGTGAAGACGTAAGTTGAGTTCTAATGGGAAATTTTCTACACTCAGACTTAAATCCTTTCTGTTCTCCATTTACTTCTCCTAAGGACACACATCACCACGCAGCAACTGGAAAACGATTCAGTTGCATGAAAGGCTCCAGGCAGGAAAACTCCAACTTCAGAACTGAAAACGAGAGGTCAGCAAAGCAGTCCCCCGGGGGTCAGATGCACCTGTCCCCACGTCAGCATTTCTGCTTCTCTTCGTCCCGCCTGTCTGCAACCTCAGGGCTTACAGAGCATCGGGCCTCACGCCAAGCATGTGTCTATTTTCTTAGGTCAACATAAGCAAACACACCGGGTAACTAACACGCCCTGATTCATCGAAATCATTGATAAGTTCTCTGTCTTAAAAGCATAAAAGAAATTGTCCTACCTACGGCGAATGTTTTAGTAAGAGAAACCAAACTCACCTCACTGGGTTAGTGAGGACAAGACCGTTAAAGACTCGGGAGAGATCACGAAGGTTAAAGATGTAATGGAACTTCGATGGAGTGGGAGGCAGGTCCTGAACGATACTTCTGTAGAGTGCCAACGTGCAGAACGTCAGCTTGTCACTCACGGCCACAACGCTCTCGTGAAATGTCTAAAAAATTAAAAGGCCTTCAATAGATGAATGAATGAATATACAACAGCATATCATTTGGCCATAAAAAGGAACGAAGCACTTGTACGTATTACGAGCTGGATGAACCTTGGAAACACCATGCTAAGTGAAAGAAACGAGACACAAAGGACCACATTCGTACAGATGGATGACTCCGTCTATATGAAAACCCAGAACAGGCGAATCCATAGAGACAAAAGGTAGATCAGTGGTTGTCGGGGGACGAGGGGTGGGATGGGAGTAACTGCTACTGACAATGGGCTTCCTTCTGGGGTGATGCAATGTTCTGGAATTAGCTAGTGGTAATGGTTGCACAACGTTGTAAATGGACTAAATGCCGCTGAATTGTATGCTTTAAAATGCTTATTAAGTGAATTTTACCATTTTTTAATGGAAATTAAAAAATTAAAAGGCCAGAGAAGCTCATCATCTGATCTGCTTTTATCTCTAGTCTGGATGTTCTTATTAGCTGCCCAGTCAACATGACGTGAAACCAAACACCCAAGCCGGCCCTCAGTCTGAGCTGTGTTTGGGTGGCACAGACCTCACGGTTCTGAAAGCGAGTGCCCTCGGGTAGGGCGTGAGCAGGCCGGGTGCTCACACGTGACCTACTCCGTGCCTTTACCTCCCCCACCTGGCCCCCGGAGCTGCTGCGTGGTGCAGACTCTGTTTGGTAGGGCAACGTCAGGATCGGGTTGCTGTGTAAATGAACGGGCTCCATCTGGGGGACCCACGTGAGTCGTAATGATGGCAGCAGTAACTGGTGTCTAGTGAGTACCTGCTATGTGCCAGACACTGCAACACACACATTTTTCCCCTTTTGTTCTCCCCAAGCCCAGTGAGGTGGGTTCCACTGTCCTCTCCCTGCTCCAGGTGAGAATGGGGGTCGGGAGAGCCCGAGGAGCAGAATGGGGCCTGACTCGGAACCCCAGGCCCCTGGTTGGCTCGCCGCTGTAACTCAGCGTGACGTACGTCACTCAGGGCCACATCACGACTGCCACGGGCCCCTTCCCCCATAAAAATATAGTAAAATTACATTTTATAACTGCATCGGTATAAAGACAATTTTTTTCTTCTGATTTTAAAAGAAGTTAAGACATTTCCAATGGCCCTTGGAAGTATCGCAGGCCCTTGGCATTGTCCCTGCCGTGCCTGATGGCCGAGTCGGCCCCGCACACATTTCTACCCGACACAAGGTCTTCCGGTTTAGACTTCTGATTAAAACCAAGTTACCGGCCGGGCGCGGTGGCTCACGCCTGTAATCCTAGCTCTCTGGGAGGCCGAGGCGGGCGGATTGTTTGAGCTCAGGAGTTCGAGACCAGCCTGAGCAAGAGCGAGACCCCATCTTTACTAAAATTAGAAAGAAATTAATTGGACAGCTAAAAATATATAGAAAAAATTAGCCGGGCATGGTGGCGCATGCCTGTAGTCCCAGCTACTTGGGAGGCTAAGACAGGAGGATCGTTTAGCCCAGGAGTTTGAGGTTGCTGTGAGCTAGGATGACGCCACGGCACTCACTCTAGCCAGGGCAACAGAGCGAGACTCTGTCTCCAAAAAAAAAAAAAAAAACCAAGTTACCGAGGTATGGCCTTTCAGGATGGAGGAGTAAATTAAATGCAAAGACTCCTCTGAAGGGAACAGCACGTTGAAGACACTGAACAGCGAAATAAATCTCGGGTCGACTTCGTTGCGGCCTCCGCCGGCTTTTCCCATGGCGGCGATGAAGCCGAGGTCGCGAATGCTCTTGCAGTTCAGCTCCTTCCCCCGGTCATACAAGTAGCCCTTCTCCAGCAGCAGTTTCAGCAAGGCGATCGGCTGCTGGGTGCCGTATTCGTCCACCTCGATTTTTGTTTCGAGAAAAGAGAACGGTAGCATCGTAAGGCAGAACCCAGAGGCCTCCGCTGACCGTCTAGACTAAAGCTCATGCCTCCTGCTGCCCTCTCGGAGCACCTGGTTTTAGTTTCATAGGGCTTCTCGGATTTTGCTATTGTAAGTTCATGTGTGATTATTATTTTAAGTCTATCTCCCTCTCTAGACTGTAAGCTTCATGAGGGCAGGGACTATATAGGTTTCGCGCATGCATGGCACCAGCCTATAGGAGGTGCTCTATAAATACGTTAATTAGATGGACGGAGGGGTGGACAGGTGGATGGACAGATGAACGTATGGATGGATGGATGGGTGGATGGATGGGTGGATGGATGGATGGATGGATGGGTGGGTGGGTGGATGGATGAGGGATGGACAATTGAATGGATGGATGGGTGGACAGATGGATGGATGGGTGGCTAGATAAACCGATGGGTGGGTGGAAGGAAAACAGGTGGATGGATCAACAGAATAGATGGGTAGATTAATAAATATATGGATGGATGGATCCTGGCTTTGCACACAGTCCTTCTGGAAGATAGACTTTCAGGGAAAAATGGTTCTGTGAAGTGATATAAATTTAAATTCCAGTATGCTAAGTGCAAAACTTTGTGCTTCTCAGGCTCTGGCCCCAGAAACACACTCACCATACAGCTAAAATTTTCCTTCCTTGGTAAATCCAGAGGAATTCTTGGGAAGTGTCTGCCCTGATGCTTCCAATGTATATGAGGCCAAGAACAGGATTATTCTCTAAAGTAGAGCTCATCTGGAAGCCACCTACTCAAACCCATGCTGAACGTAGTGCAAAGGCTGCCTGCTGTCTGCTTTCCTCCTCTGGGAAGCTAAGGGACACGGTCAGTAGGGACAGGTCCCTCTGTGTACCGGCATCCCAGGAACACGCTGCCCAGGCGGGCTTCCCGCAGCCTGCACGGCCGTGCAGAGTTCAAGGGCGGTTCTCGCACTCGCTCACTTCCCAACACAAACACAAGCACCGTCTTGCCCCTCCCTCCCGCCCCTTAAACTCCCACCACCTTGGGCATGTTCATGTCGTCCATGAACACCAGCAGGCGCTTTCCCATGGGCGGGCCGTAAGTGTCTTTGGTTCGCTTTTCCACATTTGCCTCTAAATTTCTCTGGATATCCATGGACGTGGTGCGGGAGGAGAAATTGACCGTTAACACAATCTGAAGCAGAAAGAGACGATTCAAAAGGTCAGCTTTCTCTGCAGAGTGTCGCAGTCAATGTTCCAGCATAAGCTACCACGTCTATTTTGCAAGGTCACTGGTCCCTGGACTAACCTTTGCATAACCCAGTGTGGCTCTGTGCTTCGTTATTCTTTAAGTGCTAAAGCAAGAATTCCTCTTTCCCTTTGGCACATTCTATGAGCCAATAACGAGTTGCTGTATGTGGGCCTTGGGGACGACGTGGCTTTGCGGAAAGTGGACTAGGGGGTCTTGGCTCTGCACATTCTAGTTAAGTGACCTCCAAAGTCATTTACCCTTCCAGAGCCTCATTTTTGTCACCTGTAATATGATTGTAACAACATTGGTTTGAACTTCTTTGTAGGGTGATTGTATCATACGAGATGCGACACATAATGGCATTTGCAACGTAACAAGATGCAAACATAAATTACTAGCATGCCGGCCGCATCTTCGTAAATAGCGCAAAGACGGCGTGAACACCCAGGAGTTGCTGGAGAGAAAGGTGAGGAAGTTCCCCCGGACCCTCATGCACATGTCCTTGGGTCCTCTCCCCATGCCGGCCCATCCCCCAGAATTGCCACTGCACTGGGTCTGAGATGTTTTAAACAAGTTATCAGTGATGTCAGTGCTGCTGGGGACACACTTTGAGAACCGCTATCTTCCACAGCACCCTCCAACTAGGGCGTCCACAGTGCAGACGCACAGGAGGGGGACACGCCGCAGCTGAACGCACATCTTGTTAAAGCCAACATGTTCGATGCGCCTTGCCGGGCCAGTGAGCACCAATGTCAGAGTCCCAGGGGCAGGGAGCTGGGAAGAAGTCTCCTGAACGTGGCGTCCCTGTGCCCGACTCCACAAACCCACAGGTCCCCCAGCTGAAAATGTCCCTTCTGCTCCAGCCACACTGACATCCTTAAAGCTAAATCCCCCGCGTCTGCATGCGACAGTACTCGAGTGAGCCTGCTGGCTCCCGGGCAGCCCAGCCCTGTCCTGCCACATCCCTTAAGGTGTCCAGGGCAAAGCCTGGCTGAGCACTCCCGCCCCAGAGGGCCACACGGTTTCCTGGAGCCCCGTGGCTACCGGAGCCCCTGGGAGTGGAAGAGGCACAAACCTAAGCGAGAGAATCAGGGGGAAGCAGAGGGAAAGCCTTCTCCCGGCTGAGCTCCCGGCAGGCCAGAACGGGAATTGGAAGCTTAAACGCTGGACAGGCTCTGACACACAGAGAGCTCAGTCCTCGCAGACTGGAGGCAAGTATCTGAGAGCTGGACCTCCTGGAAATCACGGCAAGCCCCCTGGAGGAGCGGGAGTCTCCACTCGGTTGTAACGTAAGTGAAGACGCCGGACAGCCAGGGCAGCCGGAGGGGTGGGCAGGAGTTGGCCCACGTAGGGCTGTCCGGGTGCAGAGGAGGCACCTGCCTCCCTGCCGCCTCGGTGCGCCCTGCCACACCCGCACTGCCACATTCCCTGTTGTCATCGTCACGCTTGTTCCCACTGCCTGCGAATCCTTCCAGAGCAGACCTGGACAGGCTTGCTCACTGTCACTTGTCCTGTGCACCCAGCAAGCCCCGCCCCTGGCACATGTCAGACCCCACCACCACCACACTGGACAAGCAGCTGGAGGAAGCAAAGACTTCAACAGTTTTAGAAACCCCAAAATGATGACGCATCCGTGACAGCCTCCAGGAGGGTCCCCAGTCATCCTCGCCGCCAGGCAGTCACACCTGGTGCATCTCCCACACTGCACCAGGTGGCTCTGGTTGTCTCTGACCCACAGAATACAGCAGAAGTGATGGGAGGTGGCGTCTAGGGCCAGGTCATGAAAGACATCGTGGCGTCTGCTTTGCTGTCTCTCTTGGACACTCAGGAGGAAGCCAGCTGCCATGTCACGACCACACTCCCCTTGGAGAGGGCCACACGATGAGGAACTGGGGCCTCCAGCCTTCAACCATGGGAAATGCCATCTCGGACAAGGACCCCCAAACTCTAATCAAGCCTCCAGGTGACAACAGCCCTGGCCACTGCTCGACTGCAACCCCATGACAGAGCCTGGGCCAGAACCACCGAGCTAAGCTGCTCCCAGATTCCTGACCCCCAGAAACCGTGAGATAATAAGCGTCTGTTGTGTTAACCTGCCCCGTGCTAGGGTAATTTGTTACACGGCAGTAGATAACGAATACTAGTCATGACTTACGTTTGTTTCTTCGTTCAGATTTTTGAGGAAGTTCTGGGTAGTGGCTGTCTTCGAAGTGCCAGATTCACCAACAAAAATAACGGGGTGCTTAATTTTAACCATTTGTCCCAATATCCAGGTAGTCCGGGTGGTATCCACTGTATGAACTGTTAAAAACGCATTGAGAACGGGAGATCGCAGGGACTCCAGACAGGGTGAGCATTTGGCAACTTGGAGCTTCACAGAATCCCTCAAATCCCATAAAAAGCATCAGTACAAGCCAAGACGTGATCTTGAAAACATAGATACGGGGAAACTTTCTTCTTAGGAGAACCTCCCACCCCAGCCATCACTTCGATAGCTTTATTGAGGTGTAACTTGCGCACCATAACACTCGCCCGTTTTAAGTGTACGATTTGAAGAGTGTGATACAGTTCTATGACTGTGATTGTCACCACAGTCCAGGTTTAGAACGCCCAAATTGGTTTTGTTTGTTTGAGACAGAATCTCGCTCTGTTGCCCGGGCTAGAGTGCCGTGGCGTCAGCCTAGCTCACAGCAACCTCAAACTCCTGGGCTCAAGAGATCCTCCTGCCTCAGCCTCCCGAGTAACTGGGACTACAGGTAGGTGTGCACCACCACGCCCAGCTAATTTCTCTTTCTATTTTTGGTAGAGACGGGGTCTCGCTCTTGCTCAGGCTGGTCTCAAACTCCTGACCTCACGTGATCCTCCCACCTCAGCCTCCCACAGTGCAGGGATTACAGGCGTGCGCTGCCACGTCCGGCCCCAAACCATTTTTAACATCTGATTCTGGTTTATACTCAGGATGTTAAAAACTCAACTTCTCTGTTGCTTACATCCCTCGGACCCCTGCAGGATTTGGTTTCCTGACCAACACCTTCCCCTGAAGAGACAGTGAAACCACAAGTCAGGTGTGGCAGTTTTCAATCCTGGGGGGTTCCTGCGAAAACAGGCACGCCTCACCCTATAAGCACAATGGACCAAAATCAGCCCCATGTTCTGTGAAGCTGTTCGGCCCCCACTTTGTGTGAACAGCCAGAGCAGTGCATCTAAAGCATGGCTCAGCGTGGAAACGCCCACAGCACGCGGCCTCTGCAGGCAGCGCTGTTTCCCAGACGCTGCCTCGGTGTCTCCCGTGTCATCCCTTCCTCGGGCCCTTCCCGCGCCGCCAGCTCTGCAGGCTGAAGGGAGCCCGAGGAGACCCCGGAGGAAGCAGCGGCTCGCCCGCCCGTGGGACGGGCCTGCAGGGGGAGAGCCTAGAGGCGCAGCCACCAAGATGCTCAGGGCCAGCAAGGGACAGAAGGAACCAAAGGGGCCGCCCTCGTGGCAGGGCCCACGGCTCACTCTCCTCAGCCCCTGCACCAGGGACTCGGGGCGCCACAGAGCCCGTGGGGTCTTCCTCACTTCCTCCCGGAACAAGGACCCCACAGTCTGAAATCCGGGAACAGGGGCTGGACTGTCACTCACCCAGGATGTCGACGAACTTCCTCTGGTGAGAATGGACGTACTCTGGGACTAACCTACTCCACGGGATCCACTGCCTTCGCGTGCTGTCGAAGTGGAAGTCATACAAGGTGGGGAGGTGACCTGCGGTAAATACGGCCTGTGTCACTGCCATCAGAGACTCAGACACGTAGAATCGGTCCTGGCGCGGCTTGCAACGAACGCACGCGCTCGCTCAGCAGACAGGCAGGACAGCGAGGCTGTGATGCTGCTCCAACGCGAGACGGGCGCTCGCTCAGCACCTCGCACTGAGGCTGCCGGCGACCGGACAGACGCTGAGTGCTCTGAACTCTGACCCAGGCGAGCGACAGGCAGTCCCGGCGCACAGCACCAGGTTCTGCAGAAGAGGAAGCAGAGGCCCGACCTGGGTGCGGCAGGGCAGGTCCCGAGAAGGCCCAGGTGCCCGGGGCAGCTGGAACACGCAAAGTCTAAAGAGCTAAAACAGAGCGAAGGAAGCCAGCACCGCAGCTGCGGCGGAAGAAGGCTTAGCTCATCAAGAAGGTCGTCCAAAGGGCTGGGCGTCTGCTACAGCAGCGGCGCACTTGAACTTCTCCGGGGCACCACCCGACGCTCTGACCACCGCACGTTTCTCTACAAAAGCCAACGACGTGGAAAACCCACACAGACATGAACACGGAAAAGCAAGTTTGCTGCCTCTGAAAACCCAGCCGAAAGCACTCAGAGCAGGAAACGGGGGACAGTTCCTACCTGGCAATTCCCCGGGTTTGGCCCAGACTCCTTCCGTGTCGGCGGTGGGCAAAGAAGCGATGCGTTTAATACACTCGTCAAATCTGGCCCTTCCGTCCTCGAGCAGGGCGGCCCCCAGCGAGCAGTACAGCGCCTCCAGGAAGTGGCACTCCAGCAGCTCAGGGTCCTCTACCTCTCCGTCCAGCAACGCATCCAGCATCTTGGTTAACTGGGCCACCTGGTTCACGGGGAAATGCCTGGTTCAGCCCACGTATTCCACCCACGGGGAACGGCTCCAGCCCTGCATCCTGGGATCCCAGAGCGACGGAAACACGTGTCCCCCGATCTTAGTCCGGACAGGTGGAGCCCAGTGTCTTGACTCGCACAGGGTCACACACGCAAGTGTCGTGTCGTCCCCGACGCTAACCCGCAATGTCGCAGGTCACCCATCTGGCACCTTCGCCCCCCTGAAAAGCCCGACGCGGGTCTATCTTAGGGAAGAATTTTTTTGCTCGTGGCAGCGACCGTCTCTCACCATGTTTAGGTCCGTCTGAGGCACGATCGTCTTCAGCTTCTCGCCCTGTCTCCCGTCCACGATCCCCTCGACGATCACGTCGATGAGGTAGGGCACGTATTTCCTGAAGAGACCATCTAAGTTGCTTTGCTCCAGCTACGAAAGAGCAGAATTCCAAAGCGCTTTCAGGGGTTTACGGATTTAAATGAAGTTGGCAGAAAGCTTTTCTCGTGAGGGTCGGAAACATCTTCCGAAGAACGCTGAGTGTGGCAGGCGAGGAAACCCTGACGCCAGAGCCTCACGTTTGCAGACATCTGTCCTGTACGACATACTTTTCATTTCGTCACAAAGCATTTTGCTTTGCTGCCACGGGGTCTACCCCACCCGGGAGGGAGGACAACAGGTCCCATTTCACAGAAAAGGGACCGAGCATCTTTGAGTTCAGGTGACATAACCACAGCCACCCGGCAAAGCAGCGGAAGGCCCCTCTCCCTATCGAGGCGTCGGCGACCACGAGGGACTGCCTGGATCGCCAGACAAGTCCCTCTCCCACAGGACGGTGCCTCAGATAGTCCAATCATGGCTCCCTTGGTCTTCTCTTCTCTGCAGTAATTACGTCCTGGTTTCCAGGTCACCTCCAGCCTGGCAGCCCTTCTAGAGACACACCCAGACCATCTGTGTCACTTTGAGAATGTGGTCATGGTGTCCTGGGCGTGATCGAGCCACCGCCCACACATGACTGTCACATCCGTCTCTGCTCCTTTCAAAGAGGCCCTGTGTTAAGCACACTTCTGGCCTGCCGCCTGCTTGTGTAAATAAAGTTTTATTGGTACACAGCCATGCCCATTTGTGCATATACTGTCTCCGGCTGCTCTCCTATCACAATGGCAGAGCTGAGCACTTGCAAAAGAAAGCATATGACCCACAAAGCCTAAATATTTATTGCTCTATCTACCCCTTTACAGAAAACTTTGTCAGCCCCTGGTTTAGACCATCGAAACCATTACCTATCCCACCGGCTGTGAACGATCTGAAGTTTAACAAGCATGTCCGCCATGCTTTCGCTGGACGTGTGCTCAAGGACGTGGGCAGGTGGAGGGCAAGGTCATGGCCTTCAACTGCAAACATCCCTCAGGGCCACGTTATCCGACCGACCACCACCACTAATAACTAAGTTCGTGTCAGAAATAGTTTTCACCTTGTTTTGTATTCGATTAACCCATTTTTTCCAGTACGGTTCATATTTCAAGTTTTTAGGATCCACGTAAACCATCCCACATCGAGAGACGGTGGCAGGGGAGGCGTACTGCAAATCTCCGACCTGGAGAAGCAAAGAAAATCAATCACATCCACAGCTCTAAACAACATGGACTAGATAGCTGAGGGCCTTTTTCTCGTGCAAAGTTTCTACAACTGCATACGACCCAGGTCCTGTCAAAATTAACAGAGCTTTCACGAGGTTTTTGCTCCAACATCTCGGTTTATGATGGGAAGATTATATATCTGTGATGTTGTAACACCTTTGTGAGTTTTCTCTTTCTATAAAAATTAATGTGAAAATGAGTATGTTGTAGAATATCTGACAAAAACAGAAAAATATAAAGAAGAAAATAAGTTACTTGAATTCCACCACCCAGAAACAATTATCAATTTGGAGTGTTTTCCAACTTCAGTATTTTTTTTTAACATAGTTCAGATCAGATAGCATGAAAGTAAGTGCACACCTAAACCAGCAATATTAACAAGTCTATCTCTCTAGGAAAGAAAACATGGTTCAGTCTGCAAATGGGATAACGGTATGTGCAAACACTCGTGCACTGACAAATCTTGCAGGCCGATTTGGAAATGGCATCGATATCGAGTTAGAGTGAAAGCCAGTCCCAGGCCCACAGCTAGGAAAAAAGCCATCCATGTTGCAAGCAGGATGCGGTGGGCCTTGGAGAGCAGTCCAGGAAATAAAGGGACTCAACAGAATACTCGATATGCCGGAAAGTTTGAAAAAACAAATGAGGGTAAGATAAAAACAAACAGTGTGAGGGGGGAAAGGAAGGCAGTCAAAAACTCCAAACAGATGGCTCTAAGGAAAGTAAAGGTAATCGGGACGTACTGCTCAGCTCAGCAGTAAATATTTCCATCTTCCTGTTTGCTGTTAACCAGTTTAACCATGCACTGTTCTGAGGAGGGGAGGAGGATACTGGTAGGAGAGATGAATTCTCACTTTCGTAGCAGTCAATAGGTAATGTATAAACTGTAAAACGTATAAAGGAAGAAACAGCACACTGAGCATGTTACTTACAGATACTATGGTAATCGTCAGGAAAAACAACTCAAAACAAAGTAAATTAATCACCTCTGGGATGGAGTAAAGAGGGAACGAGGGAGTAGATAAAGAACAAAGAGTTGCACTCATCATGAGCTCTCGTGCATTGTTTTCTTACAATCGTCTGTATCGATTACTACTTTAATAAGCACTCAGATTTTTACTTCAAAGAAAGACGTATGTTCAGAATCATTTTCCCTCACGACTCGCCTCGAAGAGCAGGGCGCAGTGCGCCTGCAGCCGGATGCGCTCCCCGTTGGCCAAGGTCAGCAGCCTGTTGTCGTCCATCACGGAGTTCATGTTTTCCACCCACAGGGCATCCACGTCCCCGTCAAATAGAATATACCTGCGGCGACCAAAGAAGTCTCCAGTTACGGAACCAGGTGTGACCTGCCCATGTGCAGACCTGTGTGTCTCAGGTTCTGAGACACAGCACCCTGCTTGGCCCAGATGTTTGACCCACGGGGGACAGAAAAACAGTCTGAGTTAGTTGCCAACATTTTAGAATCAGGGAACTTTCCACAAACATCTGGAGTTGTCACCTCTCGGACACACTGGGAGGTCTGAACACAGGGACCTACGTTTCTGCCTGGGAACAAGCTGACGAGGCTGAGTAGGAGCTGCCCAGGGAGACAGAAAGTGTCACCGTGCATCCCCACCCCTCGCTTCTTCTCTTAATCCGAGGCTGGCATCAATTGCTATTTATCACTGGTTTTAACCCCCGGTTTCCTCATGGTAGAGTTAAGAGAGAAGGGGAGTATTTTGAACATCCACGTGTAGTGGGTAGATGTCACCCCGCCACGGATGTGTTCGCCCGGGAGCACCGACTATGACCTCATCTGGGAAAACGCCTCTGCAGAGTGGCTAAGTTAAGGGTCTCGAGACGAGATATTCTGGATGATACAGGTGGGCCTTAACCCGGTGACGAATGTCCTCAGAAGAGCAAAGCAGGGGGAGATTTGGGACACACGGAGAAGGCCGTGTGAAGACGGAGGCAGAGATCGGAGGGACGCGGCCGCGGCCCAGGAACACCCGGAGCCACGGAAGCTGGACAAGGCCGGGGAGGACTTGCCCCGAGAGGCCCCCGAGGGAGCGCGGACCCACCGACACCTTTACGTCAGACTTTTGGCCTTTAGAGCTGAGAGAGAATAAACTTCTGTTGACTGAAGCCACCTGGTCACTTGTTCCGGCAGCCCTGAGAAACTAATATGACATAAAATTTGTCCCACTTCACTCCTTCATGCCACCTGCAAGGTCCCCGGCAGCAGGTGAGCTCACAAGCCCCGGTTCACACACCGTCTGTCCCCGCAGCAGGCCCACCTCGGCTGCAAGGCCTCAGTATTCAAGCTACGCGACGCCTCAACTCTGTGGCTAGGACAGGTTACACTGCAGCAAAGCCCAGCTCCAAAGGATGGGCTCTGTCACTCTGCTGTGTGGCCACACGGTTTGATGTTGCTGCTTCCATTTCATTCACTGATATCAGCAGTTAGATTTTTTGCAGCATTAACATTTTTTCTTCCACGATTTTTTTAACTTTTTCTTAAAAAATTCCAAACTTATAGAATTACAAGAATAGAATAGTACAAACAACTGCCCATATGCCCTTCAACCAGATTCCGCAATTGTTAAATTTTTTTGCCACATTCATGCTCTGTCTCCCTGAATTTTTAGAGTCAGTTCTAAATACTTACGCATGTATGTCCTAAGAACAAGCAGTTTCTCTTACATAATCACAGCACAATTATGAAATTCAGGAAATTTAACATTGATACAATACTACTATCTAATACACAGTCTGTATTCAAATTTCACCAATTATCCCAACAGAAAGACTCCCTTTTATATTCATTGTAAGAAGACAAGACACTTTGGGAGGCCAAGACAGGAGGATCGCTTGAGGCCAGGACTTTGAGATCAGCCTGGGCAACATAGTGAGACCCCATCTCTAAAAAAATTTAAAAATTAGCTGGGCATGGGTGTGCAGGCTTACAGTCCCAGCTGCTCAGGAGGCTAAGGCAGGAGGATCACTTGAGCCTAGGACTTTGAGGCTGCAGTGAGCTATGATTGTGCCACTGCATACTCTAGCCTAGGTGACAGAGTGAGACCCTGTCTCTAAAAAAAAAAAAAAAAAATGCTCAAACCATTGGGGAAGGTGTGATGAAGAAGGGGACATTTGCATGGTCACAGGGCATCTCCCTACAGACCACATATCAACTGCAAAGGGGAAATGAAATGGCACCTTAACCCAACAACCAAAGTTAAAACCACCAATGATGGTGCAAACCAACCTCATCTGCCCCCAACAAGCTGCTGAGACGGACCCATCACTCCTGCATCATTCCTGTGAAAAAGGCCCAGCCTGAATCCAACTATGAAGCATCTGACAAGCAAAAGCTGAGACCATTCTATAAAACAGCTGGTCTGGAATCTTCCAGAACACCAAGATCATAGAGGACAAAGAAATCCTGAGGATTTCCTGAAGGATCCCAAGGAGACGACAACTGAACTCCACGTGAGACCCTGGGCTGATCCGGAATCGGGGAGGTGCTACAAAGAGGTTGTTCCAGAAGCCGGTTGATCCAGTCCAGAATTTAAAACACAATCCACACGAACTCCCCACTAGGCTTCCCATTTGCCGTTTGTGGTTTATACTGAACTTAAAGGAACCACATTTCACCAAAAATGTGGCCCCAACACAAATGAAAACAGTTTTGCCTGTGAAGGACACCAAGAAGCTAACTTACATGTACACTTCATATTCACAGATATCACATATTCCTATACATGACATTTATGTAAATATTCCGCAATTAACGGTGTGTAGGAGTCCCTAGTTGGGACTTTAGAGTCTTGTTATTTAAGGTTTTTATTATTAATGGTATTTGACTAGAGCATAAAATCAGGACTGTTCCTGAGTTTACCAGGAGGTATCACAGGAACAACTGAAAGCTCTTCACTGCTGTGCCCACAGAGCGTTTCCACGCTGGGCCTCACTGCCCTGCTCGGCAGGTGACAGAGTGAGCAGCGCGTCGCCGCCCACGCCTGCAGGCGGGAAAGTCTGACAGGCCCCAGCACTCTCGCCGCACTGGCTGCCTTTGCTTGGCTTGCCTGCCGTAGGCCGTGGGGACCAGACAGTCTGGCTGCACTTGAGGGCTCAGAGTCACACAGCTCAGGTCC